AGTTAACCTTTTACCGCACCATCTACTATGATGAATGAATGGTGAGTGCTAAGTGATTCTGTTTTTTTATACCAGTAGATGAATCAATCCACCCCTGATATATGTATAGGGGTGAGGACAAGATGTATAAATACATATGCATGTGTGCATCTAAGCTTCAGTTATGTATGCATACACACATGTGTTTATACCTACATACATGTGCCTGAGAAGGGAAAGGAGAGAACTTAGACCATCTACTATCCTGCCCTACTCAAGAAGAAATTACTCCATTGGATTCCATTCAGAAGCCATCATAAAGAAAGTAGTCTATAATTATTTAATACAGTCAGAGATTTTACTGATCCTTCTTTCTACCATTTTGACTTGCATTTCCCAGAAGTTTTAGGATGGCAGTCCTGCAAGCATAATTCATCTTAACTCTGGCAACTGACACAGCCCTACAACCCACTCCAGTCAACATTCTGGCCAAAGCATTCTGTACCAACAGTAACTTCCAGACAGACTTCTAGGGCAGCCCCACATACAGAACACTGCAGTAATCTAATCTAGATGTTACCTAGGCATGCCCCACAGTGGCAAGATCTTTCCCACCCAGAAAGAGCTACAGTTGGCTCACCCGCCAAATGTGGTGAACAGCGCCCCCTGGATACCTCTGTCACCTGCTTATCCAACAGGAAGTTTGGGTCCACAGCACCTGCAAGCTACAAACCTGTTTCTTTAGAGGGAGTGCAACTCCATTCAGAACAGTAGATATATCAATCTCCAGGTCAAGCATTCCCCCCTCCAGTAGCTCTTCCATTTTGCTAGCATTACATTTCAGCTCAATAGCCCTCATTCATCCCAAAACCATCTCCAGGAACCTGTTCACAGTTTGCATAGTCTCCCTGGGATCTGCTGGAAGTATGACATAGAGCTGAGTGTTGTTGGCATATTGGTGGCAATTCAGCCCAAATCTCCAGATGACATCTCCCAGAGACTTTATGTAGAAGTTAAAAGGCTTTGGGAATGAGATGGAACCTTGTTGGACCCTGTTGGCTAGAGGCCAGGGGCATAGCAGCCCTTCCCCCATTCCACACTCTGAAACCTACCTTTGAGGTAGGACTGAAACCATCACAGAATAGTGCCTTTCATTTCCAATCCCAAAAGACATTCCAGAAATATACCATGATCAAAAGATCCAGGAGAATTAACAGAACCTCACTTCCCCTGTCCCCAATGCAGGTCAACCATCAGGGCGACCAAGTCCATTTCAGTTGGACTGGAAAGGATCCAAACAATTCACTTCATTAGCGGATTAGCGGATTAGGGAGCAACAGCAACAACAACAATAATAACAACAAAAACAATAATTGGTTGCTATGGCTCCTAAGAAAAGGCAGGGTCAATCTAAAGGGAAGCAACCTGCTCCCAAAAGCCCCTCCCTTCCCCCATGTGGCTGGTTCCTATTGTCCCATCTGATGAGGAGGAGGAGGATCCGGTCAATGCAGCTATACTGCAAAGATTAGAGACACTGGAGCAACAGAGGAGTGAGCCTCTGGGTTAAAAAAGCGGGGTTAAAAAAGCGAAATGGGTTTCTAATAAATCTTTTCAAATGCAGGTGCTAGCTCATTTGGCTTTTCTGGAGGAGGGACAAGGAGCTTCCTCAGCAACTGACGAAGGAGTGACAACATCTGTTCAACAGATCAGGAGACAGCAGTCAGACGCCTGCTCCTTGGGAGGAAAGCGATGGCGAACCT